AACAGCTAATATTCCCATGACCATTACCTTGCACTCTGTTTTCTCACCAGATATTTTAACAAGTGTTTTTGTAATTGGCATGCTACAATGTTTAATGAAGAAGTAACTGATGTGTAAGAATATGGGAAAGTCATTTCCCCATAATTACTTTACCTGCTTTGGTAGTAGCATAAAAATATGTCACTCTACCAACTTGTCAATTTGAACAGCACTTGTAAGAAATTTGTTTTCTGATAAATATTAGATCATATCAAAAACACACACACACACACATATATATATATATATATATATATATATATATATATGAAAATTTCTTGAGTTAACTCAGAAAAGACAATATTTATAAATATAAATGACAATAGGAAAACTGTAGTTATTGCTGACAGCCATCCATGGGACTTTCTCAAAAGCAAAAAAATTTAATTAAATTCATTTCGTTTTTGCTTTGAGAAAGTCCACATTGGACAAAAACGTCAGCAATAGCTACAGTTTTCCTATTGTAAATAAATATATATATATATATATATATATATATATATATATATATATATATACACGCCACCCAAAAAATAACATTAGGTCAAGCACCTTAGAGAGAAAAGCGCGAATTTGTAAACAGTGACTGCTACTGCTGATGTAAAAGCTCTTCTATGAATTGAGCACTCTGAATCACTGGCGTGTCTATTCTAAAATAAATACATAAAATTCACCTCAGGGGAAAGATCTCTGACTGATGCCAAATCATTTAGTTTTCAATCCTAGCTTGAGGCAATCAGATGTCTCCCCACACTGATGAGTTATGATATAGTGAAACAGTCTGTGGATGACACACACACACAGATATATATACATATATATATATATATATATATATATATATATATATATATTTATATATGAGATAAAATAAAGAACAAATAGGAAACATTTATCAATCTCACATGTTGTTTTATTAAAGCTTCAGCAAAGACTGAGATATTGAGAAAAAGAAAGAAAGAAATTCTGGTATTTTTACTTTTGTGTTTGATTTTCATTGGTCAGTCATGTATCATATGCATTCAACTTTTTTTCAACCAACAATATTACCAACTATAAACACACATCAAAAACATATTATATCACCAACCTTTATTGAATCAATTCTTAAAGAATCTAACATATGTTTATCTAAAACACGCAGTATATATGTAAAATCATTTCCAAATCAACATGTGAAAAACCAACAAATATTATGTCTACTAGACATATATACACACACAATTATAGATATGATTATCTGATGCCTACATAGGAAAAGTACAATTTTTATACATTTACAGACATAGAGCAATATTTATGGTTTTTCATGCTTGGAATCCATTAATTTCTTGAAACTTCAGATGGACATGTAATCTCTTATTGAATTTGGAAGGCCACAAATTATACTAATGTTGGTTTAAAAATGCATGTAATATATGACTGACCAATGAAAACCAAACAACACAAAAGTAAAAAAATAATAAAATTTCTTTGTTCTTCTTCTCCATGTCTCAGTCTCTGATGAAGCTTTAATAAAAGTGAAATATGTTAGGTTGATAAAGTTTCCTATTTCTACTTTGTCTTATCATTGTCAGAGTCTACTCTATATTTGACCTATATTTAATCCCAAACCTGTAGAGACCTAAAACCTCACCATGCTAGGTGTTGCTGCTGTGGATTCTGTAGCAAGTGAGTTTTCAGAGTGTGGGGAAATGCTAGCCCCATACTCAACTGGTTTTGAATTCAGATTTGTCTTTTTACTAGACTGGTTGCCAGTCAAAGCTAGAGAGCACAGTCTGTGCTGTTATTTAACTCTAAGTGAAGACCTCTTCCAATATATATATATATATATATATATATATATATATACACAAAGAAATAATCACACATAGAATCAATCAGAAGTATTAATGCTTATTGGTGACATCCATCGCTAGAAACATAATATATGCATTAAAATACTGTTAATCCATAGTCTTAAGTGATCCTCGTCGATAAACTTGATGTCTGTAGTTTTCAGTTTATTTGATGTTAAATGCTAGTACTTATGAATAGTCCTCTATTCATCATCAGGCATGTGTTTTTTTTCCTTATAAAATCAAAAACTTGAAGACGAAATACTTGTATGTCAACCGAAAGATGTTTTTTGAATATCTGCTATTATTGCTATATATAGGTTCATGTGTGCTTCTTATAGTATGTAAAATAGATAGGTTGGTTAATAAAACAAGAACAAATGAAAGGGTACCAATATAATCAGTACAAAAAAACATTTATTAAATATTAATTATGACAGTAATATATATATATATATATATATATATATATATATATATATATATATATATATATATATATATATATATATAGACACCATATTTCTTGCCATATAAATTATACTCAAAAAAAAAAAAATAATCTCTTTCCCAATCACCCTGCATCTTATACACCAATAGTTAAGTTTGGGTAGGCTTTGTACTAGAATGTACTGCTATTAATTATATCACACACACACATTCACACACACACACACACACACACATATATATATATATATACATATAATATAGGCTTAAGGTGTGCTATATATATACATATAATATAGGCTTAAGGTGTGCTATATTTATGAGATAATGTGCTCAATATCATAGATAGAGCATGTGTAAATATAAAAGTGAACATTGAAGTCAACACTTACAGGCTCTAAGTGTTGACTTCAATGTTTACTTTTATATATATATATATATATATATATATATATATATATATATGACAGAAATGAAGCACAGAAATAGAGGTTTTAAGTCCAGAATTTTTGGACATGCCTGTGTCCGTCATCAACAGGGCAAGAAATAAACAGATAGATGGGAATTACTTCACTGGCAGATGTTTTTGTGGATGGTGTATTTTCTGGTGGAGATCATCTTATTAGCAAGAACCTGATCTCTGACTGATTCTAATAATAATATGATCTCCACAAAATCATGTCAGTGAGTAATTCACATTTCTCTGTTTATTTCTTACCCCATTGATGTAGGACATTCCAGACTTAAAACCTTTCTTTCCATGCTTCATTTCTGTCACATGGTTAAGAATTAATTTTTAATAAATGTGTTTTGTACTGATTATATTGGTACCCTTTTGTTTTTTTCTTGTTTTATTAACTAACCTATTTATTTTATTTATATATATATATGTGTGTGTGTGTGTGTGTATATATATTAAGTGCCACGGACAAGTTTAAGAAAAATGCAAAGAAGCTGATGATGATCCCAAAAGATGACATCAGACTGTTTGTAAAAAGTTGAATGTATGCTTGGAAAAGTGTGTAAGACCACAAGGGAATTACTTTGAAAATGATTAAGACACTATTGTCAGAAGTAGATTGAAGATCTGTGTAATGACTGGATGTGGAGGAGAGGACAAAACATCAACTGTGCTATCATTCCTGGTAGGTTTTGATTGCTGCATGTTGGAGTAAGAGTGTTTGGGTGCACAATTTCAAGCTGGTCAAGATATCTGCTTATAGTATTACCCATTTTAAAGAAAGTGATCCTAGCTTCCTTCCAAGCTTGCAGCCATATGATGTTGAAATACCGGTTCCCATATGATCATCAATGTTAATCAAATCTAGTCAGTACCTCAACAGGGTGACCATTTCAGAATGTCAGGTGATGTAGTGGATAATGGCTTGGGCTTATTGATTGGAAAGCTGAATTCCAATTCCCATTGGTTTCGTTATATTTACTTACATGCAAATAACCTTGGGAAAGGTATGAATCCATTTTTTATCCCCCAGCTATGGGTTAATTAGTAAGACTTGTATTACTAAACCATTATTATCTCCCTATCCTGCCCCCAAATTCTTATAATCTCAAAATATTTTCTGGCTTTAAATAACAGGCAAAGGTTTGAAAAGCCATAGAAAACAAATCAGCCAAACCAACCTCAGCTTTCTTCCAGGCTTGAAGTCACATCATATTGAGACACCAGTTCTCATATGCACATCAAAGTTAAGCAAAGTCGATTCTGGTCAATGCCTAGATGGGTGACCATTTGTGAATACCAGGTGTTGTAAGCTTGGATGTTTTGGCAGTATAAGGGATAATGGCTCAGAATTGTTAATCAGAGAGCCAAGTTCCAATTCCTGTTGGGTTTGTTATATTCACTTACATACAAATAGCCTTAGGAAAGGTATGAATCCATTTCTTCTCCTCCCATCTATGGGTTAATTAGTAGTAAGACTTGTATCACTAAACCATTATTATCTCCTCACCCTCCCCCCAAAATTCTTACAGTCTAAAAATATTTTCTGGATTTAAATAACTTGCAAAGGTTTGATAAGACCTAGAAAACGAATCAATCAAACCAACTCTAGCTTCTTTAAAATGAAACACCCAACTTCCTGAATAGTAAGGAAGCCATTTTGCTACATGATAACACCAATGATATGTTACAAAAATGATATTGCTAAAGTTCAATCAGTTTCTGATAAAAGAGCTGACCTAACCACTAGGCTATTATTCGAGAGATTAAGATTTTTTTTCTAGATCACTTCCTTCCAGGCAGGAATTTTTCCAGTCAAGATTAAATTGAAGTATTTAATTGCTTTATTGGTTTTTTGAATGAAGAACTCATTTGAAAAGGAATTACCAACATGTTCTCAGGGTGGAATAAATCTACAGAATCTGAGAGGAAACAATATTTTGATTGAATATTTTTTTTCTCCAACTGATTTTCAATTTCTTTTGTTGAAGTAAATAGGTAGTTTTATATCAAACACAAAAGAGTGCTAAACTACTATGTAATATCAATCCTCCCATGTGGCAGAGTTTATCATGGCCATGTCACATTGAAATATCTGTTTCTGTATGATCACTGAAGTTAAGTAACATCAGGCTTGGTCAGTACCAAGATGGATGACTGGTCGGAAATGGTGGAACCAGAGAATGTAGCTTTGTCAGAACATTTAGGCTTACACCCACATCATGTTGAAACACTGGTTCCTGTACAATCAATGAAGTTAAGCAACATTGAGCCTGGCCAGTACTGAGATAGGTGACTGCTTGAGAATACCAGGTGCTGTAAGCTTGGATGTGCAGGTGGGGTAATGAATATTGTCTAGGAATTGTTAATCAAAGAGCCAAATCCCAATTCAAGTTGGGTTCATTATTGTTATGATGTTAATTTGGGGTTAATAAAGACAAACGCCAAATAACATGTAACAATAAAATGGGGTTTATTCGGTTGGTAAGTTGGTACAGATATCACCTGAGTAGTCTATAACTAACTCAGCTCAGAACTCTTCTACACTGTCTTTTGACATGCCACTATTTAACGTCCTTGTTTGTAGATTTGAAGTTCATCTTCAAGAGGGGTGGTAGGTTTACACAACACCTCCCTTTGAGATTAATTCCGAGGAATTAATATTTTTTCTTTTGGGATCTGGACTTAAACGTTCCACCCTCGTTTTTTTTCTTTTTGCTTGTTCTTTGAACAACTGTTTCAGGCAATGGTGGAGTCGGTATATCAAATAAATCATATAATACCTCCATTGGTTCTTTCCTTTTCTTCACTTATTTCTTCGATGATTCTTTTTCCTTAATTGGTTCAAATGTCTTTTGTGTGTCCATTTTGGACTTGGAGATAGGCATCCGATAAATCCAATTTAGTGAATATTTTCCTCCACTTAAAACTTGCAAAAATGTCTTCTGGTGAAAAGGCAAAGGATATGTGTGGTCTTTTAAGCAATCATTTAGACCCGTAGAAAAAAAATCGGCACACATCCGAATTTTATTTTTTTTCTTAACATATACAACAGGGCAGGCCCACTCTGAAAATTCAATGCGTGAAATAACTCCTAAATTTTCAAGCCGTTCCCATTCTTTGTTAATCTGTTCCACAATACCAAATGGCATTTCATTTTTTTCGCTTGAAAATAGGTTTTACATTTTCCTTCACTTCAAATTTTGCCTTCGCTTTTTTGCAACATCCCAGACCTTCTGAAAATACTTGTGGAAATTTTATTTTCAGATCTTTCACAAAAATTTTCTGTAACCTGATTTTTACATCGAGAGAAGAAACATTAACTCTATTACAAAAGAATTTATAGGGAGTTCCCATAAATTAAACAGTATAATCCAATCTGTTCCAAACAAATTTGAAGCATTTTGTAGCACATATTTTAGACTTTAGTGTCTTACCAACAAAATGAAATATTACAAGAAAATTCACCTTGAAAATGCAATTTTCTTCCAGAAATCCATGAGCCACTTTTTTCAGTCTTTTTAAGCAAAAGGTCTGCCTATTTTAATCCATGTTGCTGTATTAATAATGGAAATATCACTTCCAGTATCTAGCTGTAGTTTAACATTTTTCCATTCATTTTACTTGTACGAATTTTCTTTTCTGCCCCTCCTCAATCTCCTGACGTGACAACACAATATTCACAATATCTTTTTTCGACTTAATTTTTTTTTTCTTTTGCTTTTTTACAATGAGTACTTATATGGCCTTTATTGCCACACGTATAGCAATTTTGTCGTGAAAAACATTCACTTTTAAAATGACCACCACCGCATCCAAAGCACGTTGGTTTTTAACGTTTTTATTAACTATTCCTTTTTGGTCGAATAGCATGGACACGCGATATTTTTTTCTTCAATTTGCGTATTGTTATGTTTTAAATTTTCAATTCTTTGACACTCTTCTGTAACCTTCTGCAAAGTAATCTCGAATTTTGTTCGAAGTTTTGCCAATATTCAGGACCTTATGTCCTTATCTTTGCTAAAAGTCAAGCCTTGAACGAATATCAAACATTTAAATCGATCAATTAAAGATCATGTAACATAAAAAACGTTCACACATTCTGTTAACATTTCCAGCATAATGAATAATATCCTCATCGTCACGCTTTTACCATATTCAAACACAAGAAACGAGTATGAAACAAACTAACTCGTCGCCAAAAATACTAGATAAAGTATTAACAGTTTCTTGAAAGAAATGTCACTAGTTTTTCTTGGAAGGACAAAATTCGTGATACTTATTATTTTCATCTGTACCCAACTTTTGTAAAAGTAAACTCACTTTTTGTTCATCAGTCCAACCTTCATTTTTTTTTCAAATATTTTTCAAATCTTCTGAAATACACAGGAAATGTTATACCCTCCTCTGGGTTAAATTTGAACTCGGTAATAGAATTAGCAATACCTTCAGCCGTGAATGACGAATTTACTGGATTCTTTAGTAACATTGCTTCAAATAAAGCCTTTGTGTCATTTCGCTGCTGAACTTGTAAATCCAATAGTTATTCCCGAAACAATTTTTGTTGCTCTTGTTGCAGAATTTGGTTTTGCACTAGAGTTTTGTTAATGCAATCAAATCTTCCATTATGCGTAATAGATTACACAAAACACTTTTCGAAAACAGTCAAAAGGAGAAAAAACATGTATATCCAACAATAAGCACAAGTCTTAC